AGGAATCACCCCATCCATCCAGGAGTACTATTGATTGCCATGGCCTGGTTGGGTGTACCTGCATGTCTGTCCTCCATTTCTACGTATGTAAGAGTTGGAATTTTGAGAGCAAGTTTCTAAAGTGATACTCAGAGCTCTGAACAGGGAGAAGTTTACATCTTTGCTATTTGAGCCTTGCATAAATCCTAGAGATCTCCAGCTAAATTCCTTGTCTTGTTAACCAAATACAAAGAAAAGGGGGATGTTGATAATGGAAGGGAATCAGGAGGCAGAGTTCTCATTACTGCAAGTCAGGAAAGGCCTTCTGGCTCCCACCTCTAGAAAAGTACTGGTGACATGTGGAGAAATTCTGAGTATTACTGGGATATGCTCTTTGAATGTTATCTATATTTTGGTCTCTGCAATGCACCATGAGGATCACCAGGAATTTTCAATGCCAAAAGTCATATGGAAAACCTTTGGGAGGACAGCCTTTTGTCTATGCTATGTGGATTAAAAAAAAAAATTACAAAAATGGAGAAACAACCCCCCTCATTCCTCAGTGGCTTCTTCCATGGAAATTTGGATACAGCTGCTGAAGCCCAAGTTCCACTCCAACAATCTGCCATGAAGAATCACTAAGAAACAGGTTCATACAACCCACAACCCAAGCTCACTACCAGTAATTTCTATCGAGTGATATTTTAGGATGGCTAAAGTTGAAGGGACAACACTAGCATCTGTTTTTCCTATATAGTATACTTCAGAAACACTTATCCACATTGAACCGTTCTCCATCATGGACTACCATGGCAGCAAAACAGCCTGACTCTGAAACAGGTGAGGAGAAAAGTCACCCAGACTGGGACTGGATCTCAGTTCCAAAATCCCATGAGATATTATAGACCTCGAATGTGAACTGCTCTCATCTTCCCTGCCCACAGTCAGCAGCACTGGAGAGGGAGGATGTGCACATTCAAAGTGGCTTGCAAAAAGACACCCAAAGGAAACAGTTTTTTGTTTCACTTGATCTGATACACAGAGCCAGGATGACATTTCCTGTAATGTTAGTGTACTTCTGTAGGAGATTCTGCGCTAGGTTTTCTCATACTTTAGGTCAAGATCTGCTTGGTCTCCAGCCAGCTGCAAAGGCAGGAGGCTTGCTTTTGCTTCCCATACTTCCTTTCAATCTCCATGGGTAATCCTCCTCCAGTTGCTGCCAAAGTTCTGGCAACAATGTAGTCAGATATGACAATTCCCTGCCTACATGTGATCTAGTTTCCCAAGAGGCCCATTCACACCAACTGTTGCTTTATTTCCCATCCATACCAAGAGAAGTGGCAATCAGCCAACTATTGAGCATCAGAAACAAAAAGCGTCATTGCGAATCCCCCACAGATCCTCCAGATACTGCTCTCTGAGATCTGAAGAAAAAAGTCTCAATGCTATGAAGACCTCCAGAATTACTTCTTCCTACCAACTAAAACAAACAGTATGTCTTCAAATTCAGATCCCAGAGAGAAGGCTGCTCCATCTTGACACTATGGAGAAACAGCGTTTGAGCCAGCAAGGCAAGACCAACAAAAGAGTATTAGTTCTAGCAGCCTGGATGATGTTAATAATTCACTGAAAAAAGTTTTAGTCTTTAGTTCATCAGATGACAAATTCCTTCTGAAGACTAAGCAACACAGGTAGAGACGATCATGCAGCTCCTCTGTTCTGCTCTCGAAAAGTCATCTTCACTGTGGAACTCACTGCCTCAGGCCAAGTTCAAGATATTTACAAAAATGAAAATACTGACTTGCTGAACGGTTACAAAAACCTCCTGCCTCAAAATCTGCAGCTAGACAGCAAGACCGGAGACAGCACTGTAGACAGGCAATCCCATAACTGCTGCTATGATGTTTTCTAAACTTTCTCAGAAAGCATCTGACATATGCCCCAGTTGAGGTTGACACCCTGGAGAAGGGAGGGCAAGAGAGGAGTAATGTGGAGGGTAAGGCTCACTGAATCATCCCCAGTCACTTGGTAAACTGAGTGTACTGTGCTACAGCCACACAGAATAGCACGTGGTGTGCTAAAGAATACAGGTGATACTGAAAAGATGGGGGACTCCGCCTTGGCTTGTTCATTGCCATGCTCATCATGATGGCTGTAGAGGAGCTCCCAGAGCAATGATGTAGCTAAAAAGACGGAGGTTCTCTTTGTGTATGCAATCAGGGCACTTTCAAAGGGATCAGGAAGACAAATGTAAGCTCCGAATTCCTCCACTAGAACCAGTGCTGGTGCAGGACCTTCACAAAGGTGGTTAACAGACTTGAGAATATTCAGATGAGAAGGCTAGAGGATAAATAAAGGACAAGAACAGCATACCTTACAATGGAAACATCGAGACACTCCTTTGGGTTAACTGGGAGGTTAGTCATTATGAAGTGACTTGACAGCAGGCTATACAAAGGTCTAGCAAGGACAGAAAATTGGTAACTTAGTCCTCCTCCACCTAGCAGACAAAGTTATAAATAGAATCCGGTGTCTGAAAGCTACAGCTGGATATTTTTAGTCTTAATTTAGTGAGGGTAATAATTCATCAAAATAATTACCTTAAGAGGTTGCTGAAAATATTCTGTCACTCTTAACAGCAAGATTAGATGTCTCTCTAAAACATATATGTGAGGAATTAAATCAAGGCAATTCTATGGCATGCATTACTCCGGTCAGCCCAGAGATCCCAGTGGTCTCTCAAGACTTTCCTGTCTTTGGTAAGACCTCCAAGCTCTGTGAATGGCAAGCTGTGACACTGAAGCAAAAAATCTGGCAGATATTTCAACGTCTCCTCTAAAGCTATGTAAATCCACACACTACCACGACGCACCACCAAAATAGAACAGAAAGCAGATTATCTCAGTAACTTCACTTTTTCGAAGTAAAAATTCTGGCTAATGATTTGTGTATCACATTTTTCCAGAAAGATCTTGTCAGGATGGGTAAGGAACCATTCGGATGGTTCAGACGGAATTACACCATCACCTCTGGAGAAAACCCAATCTTTAATGAATATGATGGAAAGTGATGCCTTAACAACGGCCTGAAATTCAACATGCTGAGCAGAAACATCTGCTATCGGAAACAGGTCTTTCCACGGAAAAAACCTTGTGCTCAAACCTATCAGATTCTTAATGTGCCTCTTTATACATACCAACAAATATTGCCAGTGGAGCCTCTTGATAAAGCACTGTGGGATCAGAGTGTGAAAAACATCTGAACTCACAGATTTCACTAACTGAGATGGAGGAAGCAAAGACACACCATCCAACTGGAATCTGGATCTGTTTTTTCCTTGATTAGGCAGGAGCTGTGTTGAAACTAGATGTGCTACCAAAAAGTATCCCTTTCCCTTAGAGAAATAGCCGTGATGGCAGCTGCCTTTAAGAAACACTGCATTTAAGCACTTTTGATGAACAAATTGTATCCAGTGTCCTCCATGATAGGAAAAGTAAGTGAGCAGAGAGACTTGACGAACTTCCTTGAGCATCTCAGGTGTCAGAGTGGATGTAGGTCTGTCTGTCCCCTGTGGAGCCATGTACAATCACGGGGCTGGCAGGGCAGGGTGTTCAACAGCAGGGGACCACTCACAGCCCCTTAGAGAGGTGAACAAGGCAGGCCCAGAGACGACAGCCAGGTTCAACCAAGAGCCCAGATCATCAGGAAGTTCACGGCGATGAGACAGGTCCATAGTCAAGCTGGGAAGTCAATCCATAGGTCAGCAGCAGGATCAGCTCTGGTGAGGATAACCAGGGCCAGACACATCAGTGATCCTCAGGGAGGTCCAGAGTGATGAGACAGGGTTGACATCAATCTGGGAAGGCAGTCTGTGGGCTGGGGTACAGACCAATGGGATCCATGGCCAGGCATGGGCATGTCTACAACTGACCTGGAGACCAACATCCTATGGTGTAGCTCAGGCAGGAAATGATGGTCCAGAGCTGAGCTGAAATAGGGGGTCTGAATGTGGGCAGAGGTCCCGTGTGAGGCTGGCCAGGGCCATTAGGACCTATTAGTGCACTCAGGGCCCTGACATCACTTTAGATTTTCATCCTGGAAGCAACAAACATGGATAGCTGTGCAGATTTTACTGCTCTCACCACATACTTTCATGACTGTTGCCTTATCTGCAGGTACCAGAAGAGGATGCCGTGAGAGCCCTCCTGAGCCTGGACTTACCAAGCTAAAACCCACTCTTGGTGGCTTTTCTACTCAGTCCACATCCCAAATGCACCAGGTTTCCTCTGCACTGGAAACACATCATCTAACAGCAATCACAATAGCCCAGCCACCTGCAAATGTGGTTAAATCAGTTCCATCTTACATAGCAAACAAGAGCCTGGAGGAGGACATAAAGAAATCTCTGAATGCTCCCCCTGTGTGCTGCCATTCAGTGACATTTCTAAAACTGGGACAACGAATGTGCCTATAGTCCACTTTTTTTGGAAACAGTCTCTGACACCCTTAGAAAGAGTGAACAGGCTGACAGAAACAGCGTAAGAATATGTATTTTAAAAGAGTAATAGCCCTGTTCTAAGCATATGAAAAAGCCCTACTCCTCACTAACAAAAGGGAACTTTCAAAGGAGACATTTGGCATTAACAATTCCAGGGAACCCCACAGCAGAGCTCTTTTCCACACAGCAGATATCCAGCAGCACTGACCAAAAATTATCCTGCAAGGTCCTACTGACCCTGCAGGAAATAAGTCCTTGTTTTAGACCCATTTTCAATAATTTTTTATCCATTATCACAGAAAACCAGAAAGACAGGCTCCGGAAGGGAAGCTTACACTCAAGACCCAGAAAGCTGAAATAATAATAGTGTTTTCCTTACCTGCTCCCACTACAGCTAATTTTTCAGCATTTGCCTTATAACCAGAAGAACACGACCAGGGTAAAGACAAAGTCTCAGCTTTACTTGACTGCCAGGGCACGGGAAAAGCCAGTTATGCTTTTCAAAAGTCATGTGTTTACAGCTGCCTCACAGGACCTTGGTTTATAGGAAGAGCAGAGCCTGAGCACCAGAAAGGTGGGAGAATGTACTGGCCAGCCTGCCTTGGGAGCTAATCGTGTCGTTTCCTCTATGCTCATTAGTGGTTTGTCACTGTAACTCATAAATCATAAATCTTACTGGTCATGGGAACTAGGAGAGGAAAAAAAAAAGGTTGAAAAAAAAAAAGGTTAAAAAAAAAGAAAAAGAAAAGTTTATGGGGAGGGGGTTAAACCTAATGAAAATATTATCTTGATCTGATCTTAAGTGTCCTCTTATTTAAAGATATTTGCTGAAAGGACTGGAAACCCATCTGCACATCTCAGTGACTGCTGGTCTAGCAAGCAGCAGGGGCAGCTTCTATTGCTTTCACAAAGGTTACTGCAGAAACCATGGTGCAAGAATGGCTTCAACCCCGGTATTCAAAAGAATGCGTCTCCTCCTCCAAAATTGGCTTTTGGTAGTCAAGAAGTAGGCAGCAGGACCTCCATAGCAATAAATCCGCTTGAAATGGGAAGTACTGGGAAGCTCAGAATCTGCTGTTGCTGAGCAGAGATTCAATGCACGGTCCTTACAGCATACTGCTCCTCAGTTATCCGTACGGGGGTGGACTAGAGACACAAAAGCCTTGGTGTCTGAGGGCCCATCTACATTAGGAGGAGATTAACCTAGTGCTCAACACCATCAACAGCTTTTCTGAGGACCTGAAAACACCTGAATTAAGAGGTGGAGTTTGCAGGTGCAGGGATGTTTAGGAATAACCGTTATGTGTGCAAGCATAAGCACTGGGTTAGTTCCGTTGGGCAGGTGGGAGATAATAAGAATAAGTTTGTGATGATGGAGGTAGAGTTATTTTATGCCCTACACCATCTACCATGATCTTGGTTCATCTCCATGCTCCAGAGAACCTGCACGAGAGCTATCAGGAGCCACCAAGCCTTGACCCACCTTAAAAGCGATAGTCTGGTGGACTACATTCCCAATTTATTTCTATATATATCTAAAACCAAAGCTGCCTTATTACAATAACTTGAAAACCTATCTAAAGCTGGATTTGGTGAGGAAGGAGTATGCACTCCCTCTGCTGGCTGTGGATGAGCAGTTAATCCCACTAAGCTAATGAGTTCAGCTCATTCATGCTCATCATCAGCCAAAATGCTGGCAGCCGGACAGACATGGCCAAAGAGCAACCATGATGGCTCACAGCATTAAAAGCACAATAGAGCACAGGCTGATGCCATAAAAGCAGCATGAAGTTCAGGTGTAAAGAACTTCTCTGCATACTTTCAAAGCATCCAAAACCAGCAGGTATCAAGAATTTTTCTCAACTATTTTACTAAGATTTTGCACTAAATTACACTTAATTGCTCATTAAAACCTCCCCTTTGTCTGGGGAGTGCAGATCGTAGTGTCCCTCCAGAGTGCAGATCGTAGTGTCGTGTAGTATGCTGAGAACTGCCTTTTCCCGAGCTCCCTGAAATAAATATTTTATTGCCTGTGATTTAGGAGCAAGCTGCCAAGATAATTTACATGATTTTGAAAACCAGTTTTAACTCACTGTCTGAAATAATTTCTCAGAAGCTTGTAAGAAAGATGCTTCCCTAGCATAGGTGTTCACTTGTTATTTAGGGGAGCCAAAAAATTTTGTGCATCACTTTGTTATATGCACTTCAGGTACCAGAACCTCCAGTTTAATAACAAAGCAAAATATCAAACCCCCAAGGAATGTAAGTAGAACTGCGTGGACATTGGTAAGACCTAACAGTATCTATCTCTCTGGGAGGAGATTCCAGCTCAGCTTTACAGTGTGCTGGTCAGCACATGATCTACGTCCTGCCAGCTGCAATCCCACAGGTCCAGTGGAAGGATCCACAAGAATGACACTCTCTCCTGCCACCAACTACTGTAAATCAGAGTCTGTAATAAAATAGATTTCCAGCAGGATACTCACTAATAGGTGCATGCAGTGCCACATGTTCTTGGTAGGGAGTGTAGTATTTGTACTGCTTGCCACAGAATTCACAGGTGTAATTGCCAGTTTCTGTGAAGATGAAACAAACACAAAGATCAGAAAGGAGCGCAGCACCCTCTCACACACATCTCCAACTTCCTGACTTTTTACACAGAAACCAGCCAACTGACAAAAACTAGAGCATATTCTTCATGTACCTGGAACTTATCTGCCCTATAATTCACACATCCTTTTCCCCAACAAAGGAAACCATTAAAGCCAGTGTCTAGAGTGATGGACTGTGCATAAAAAGTCCAGTAGAACTGAAGATTATCCCAAAATAATACAGAAGATTATCCCAAAATTACAGCAAGTAACCGTGCAAAACAAAGGAGAGAATCCCTTTCTAAAGACAGATGACAGAGTTTTGTCTTCTGGTTACACGCAGTCTGTGACGTGTGGACAACAGGAACAGTCAAACTAGGAAACAAGTTGTCAAGTTTAAGTCTTAACGACAGAACTTTTACATTGGAATTGTGGATTCCTCTTGCAGAAGGAGGGGCTTTTCTGCAATAACTGTGCTAATTCCTGCTTTGGGGTTACTTGAAATAATGAAATAGTGTAACCATACACTGACGCCTCCTGCTCCTGACAGTGCTGGGAAGTACAGAACTGAAAACAAGCTGCAAGCTGAAGGAAAATCCAGGGTTAATCAATTGTTTTCAAAATGGAGAATTCAGAGAAATGCCTCAGCAAAGTCTGGTACTCTCTTTGTTTCACTCTGATCTGTTTGATGAACTCACCGCAAAGGCAGCGAGTATGAATGCAATCACCTGCCAACTCTGCCAATACACCTTAAGACCCTCTCTAATCGCTGCCAGCTTGCTTTTCTCCTGAACTTCTTTCCCCTTCTCTTTGCAGAGCTCTTTAGCAGAAAACATCACAAAGCTGCATTTCTTAGGGCCAGGGCTGCTGTTGATTGGTGTTCATTTGAACCTAAACACATCCTTCAGCACCCCTAAGGTCCCAACGCCTCTGTGTAACACAGTGCTTTTGGGTTTTCCTAGAAGTACTCCAGCTAATGCCAGATTTGAAACCCTTGTACTGTCTCTTTAGCATTCGAAGCTGTATAATAACTCATACTTGGACCAATCTTCTGGAACGGTTCCGGCTCCTCCTCCTTCACTTCATCCGCTGCTATGACGGCCTGGTCATAGGGGTCTGCAAGAGAACAGAACCAGCAAGAGAGCTGACAACACCCTCAGGTTTTCCTTCTACAGCTGCATGGGCACAGAACGCTCCTGCATCTGTAATGACATTTCGATCTGTAACAAGATTTCAAGACGGGAATTATAAACCCAATGCCCCCTCTGTCTGACCTGTCCCTCCTCCTCCTCAGGTGCCCCAGGCAGGTATTACCCCCCCCCTTCCACCCCAATAACATGCCTTGTAGGTATATAATGTTTAAAAAATACTGAGAAAGATTGAACAAACACATTGCAAAGCCTGACTCATATTTTCTGATTTTCTTCCAGTACATCTCCTATCTAATGATGTTATACTGTCTGAAAGTGGGCACGGTGATGCAGTCTGCGAGCAAGTCAGCTAAGAAATACTGACCAGTAACTTTCTACCATCTAATAGCACAGCTACCAACAAATCAGAACCCAACCCATTTTACAAAATAATTTAATTTATGCCTTGAACAATTCACTAAATCACCAGAGACATGAAACTTCTGTTTCTTTGATCTTCAAAAGCCTGATCAAGTGTATGTACACCAAAAGCCTGGTATCTACTAGGGCTGGGCATCAACCTACTGGCTGTACACATTGGGAGAGGGAGAGAGGATGCTCCTCTCCCACTGAAATCAGTGACAAACCTCCTTACAAGCGTAGAATCGGACCTGCTGTGCCTGAATTACTGAATGTTTGAAAAGGTTTGTGAAATAAAGCACACGAAGGATCTCGGCTTACCTGCCCGGTTTTCTGGGGCCCCTTCCACACTAAAAACTAACATAGAATAGAAGAAGGAGGGGAAGAAACAAAACAGAAATTAAATCCTCTTAAATGGCCTTGTTTTCCTCCTGTATTCCACACACCGCTTCAGCATATTTCAGCCCCACAGAATAAACGAGGCTTTGTGCCCCAGTCCCTCCTCTTCCCAGCAACATCCACACAGGAACTATTTGAGTATGCCCAGCCCTAATATACACAGATTCTCAAGGCCTTTGTTCTGACACTGACACAGCCCCACGCAAAGCTCAGATGCACAGCTGCCTCACACTTGTGTTTGCTAAGACACAGCCAGTCCCTTGGAGGAACTGAGACAAACGGTGTTCTTGCAAGACATAAGTGGAAGCCATTTCCAAAGCCCTCCAGTAACCCTAGGCAGAGCTCCCTGAACCATAGCTATGAAGACACATTTCTGACAGAAGCACACATGTCCATCTCACAGTGACTTTCAGCCCCAGTAATTTAATTTTGGCTCCCCAAGGGAGGAAGGAGCTTGCGGTGGTGCGCTGTAAGAGAACGCCGGCTGTTCTGAGAGCACATTCAGATGTTTGTGTGTTCCAGTTAAAACCAGCAATTTTTTTCCACACCACATATTGTGAAAAACCACTCGCTTTTCCGAGACAGTCCAGCCATTCCAAACCTTCCGCTTTCCAAGCAGCCTCTTTCTAAAACTCTGCCAGGGCTCACTCCTTGGCCAAGTGAGGAGCAATACCGACAGGCTTGCAGCTTACAGTGAGGATTTGGAGTATCTGCGGGCTCCAAGTCAAGGAGCTGTAGATGCTTACTAAGTGTACGCAGGCAAGCCAAAGACAGTATGTTGTTGCTTCTATTTTCCCCAATGTAGAAAAAAGAAACACTGCTTCTGGAGGAGGGTGCCTGCTTCTGTCTGAGTGTCACCAGCCTAGGCCGCATCAACATGCACGGACGAAAAATTGTCCTGTAACGTCCACTGAGAACTGCATATGTTCACTACCACAGTGATTAACAAGAATGAACCAGCATTTCTCAACTCTGAAATGCGGTTTCTTCCAGAGGTGCATGTTGGGAACAAACCTGTGAAGTGAAAAAACAAAAGGCAACCAACTCTTGCCCAGCGAGTAGCTAGACAGACAATTTACCTCAACACACTCAATTCTAGCATATCCATCCCAATGGTGAACCTTAATACGGACAGGACTGCACGGACCACAGGTCCCAGCAGAGGGAGTTATTTTGATGCATGCGAAGAGAATCAAGTGCAGCAAACTTCTTCCTGCAGCGCCTGTGGACTGTGCCTCCACTGAGAACGGCGAGCAAGCCATGCTGTGCAAAACCCTGTACATCATGGGCCGCACGGTCCTGCAGAACCACATTTTGTCTTTCCCAATGACTTCTCATTCGAGTTTGGGTGTCTGAGTGTCAAAACAGTACTCACCATCCACGGCATGTAGGTCTCTGTGTTCTTGGAAGCAGCTATAATATTTATATTTTTTCCCACAAATGTCACACGTGTACCTAAAATTGTCTGTAGGAAGAAGAAAACAGGCCACTTTAGAAACTTCTGAGGTAAAAGGCAAGCACTCCAGACAGTGCTGCTCAATCAGACACCCCTATGCAGTTACATTCATCCCACATGCTCTGTCAAATTTCTAAGGCTCGCAGACAACCATTGCTTCACAATGTCCCCCGTGTGCCCCAGGCTACATGTCTTTCGGCATGTTCTGATTTGTTATTTCCAGTTCAGGCAGCTCTGTTCTCCGGTACAGCCGCCGTAAGACCTCACAGCAATGGAGACGCAGAGCAGCAGGCCCTGCTGAAATCTCCTTTGGAAGTTCAGGGCTACAGTAGGCAGCTACGGGTCAGGATGGGGACAAACTGGTAAGAACTAAACACAGAGTGAACACATGAGCTGTTAGAAATCAGTCTTAATTTGCTAACTACAACATGGGCTGGATGTGCCTACACGCTCGTACCACACTTGGTTCTCACTGCTGCTGCTTACTGATTACTAACTGCATCCAAGATCCCGTATGGGCACATCGTAACAATCAGAACCAAAGAGAACCAACAATGCAAAACAGGCAGGACAGTAGGGTGCTCAATGAACAGGAGGACTGCTGGAGCCTGGTTTCATATATGTTTGTACCCTGGACACCCTTCCTTTGTCCCAGCAACAACAGACTCCACTCCCCACAGCCATGGGGAAGACAGATGCAAAGAAGTTTGAGATCCTCATGAATTCTTTTTGGTCTGGTTTGGGATAACAAATGCCTTTGGCTCAGCAATCACAGCAGCGTAAGAGGAATAATTTGCTTGTCAACTTGGTGGGGTTTTTCCATCTTCTGATATCTGGCCTACACCTCGGGCTACAGACTGACATCCGTAACTAGTCGCCCCACTGCAGCTTCCAGCATTGTACTTGTCAGCCGACCACAGTAGCCGATGGGTTGCGTGCTAGTTGCCTGCTGCAAACAAAGTAAAACACAGCAGCTTCTGTAGTCACAAATGATCTCAAAACTAATGTGTTTTACTTCAGAAAAGGAGCAAGCCAGGAGTGGACGGAGGCTCCACAGACGAGCTGCCATTCAGTAAGGTCCCCTGCAGTAGCTCAGCTGTTTGTATTCACGTATCCATACAATTAGAAAAGTTAAAGCCTTGTTTTTACCTCTTCCACACTACGTTCAAACACACCAGAGTATACACATTAAGTAAGCTTTTATTTTACTTCTCAATAATTTTATCTTTAAAGTAAATAAATGTTTTAAGCTAGTAAGCATTGGTACAGTCTAATCGCTCACTTGGGTTCACTACTGCAGTCCATCAGCACATGGGGCTTCAACACTAAATGAAGAATCACTTTCCGCCCCTTTATTCTGCTTGGCAGAATGAAAGTAGAAGCTATGGTGATCTATAAGAGAAAAATGCCAGACATAAAAGGTGTTAAACAGCTGGGCACTGGAACTTTACTTCTGCTACGAAAAAATATTTATATCTTAATCAGAGCACAGCAATGCTAAGCTAGATCTAAGGGATTTTAAAAAGTCTAGGCTGAACAAGCGAGACACAGCCCAGGCATATATACCAAGATGAAACGGATTCGCTGCTTCAGACAGTGCACTGCTTGAGGAAGAGCAGGAAGAGAAGCAAAACATGACTGCGAGAACATTCGCGTGATAAAAGCACTGGTGGGTCACATTTAACTGTGTTTCATTATATAATCGTATGCAGTCTCCTCCTGTGGTCATACAACGGGATTGAGGGTCTCAGTCTACCCTGGACCCTCTTCAACAACAAAGACAATCTAATGATTGCAAGTGAATATCTGTATATCTGTTGAAAAAAGAATACAGTCAATTATTAGCAGCGAAAATTCATAATATGTCATCAGTAATCAGTCCCACATCGCTGGGCATCCCAAAGACAAGAAACCAACCTCCTTTTTGAAGTGTAATGAGATGCGGTAGATGAACTGGAGGAAGACTAATCCCTCAAAGGAGTACCAAATACCAAGCCCTTTCAATATCTCCATTTGGAGGACTAAAATGATTACGGCCTTAGTTTGGAAGAAAAGTGATCAATAAATAAGGACACTTATTAGAACAGAATAAAACTAAACTCTAGGCACACCATCTCGCAGACTCGAACAGGCAGGGCTCGGTGTAGTCTCTGTAACTTAGGGAAGACTGTGGGGATCTCACTGTCAACAGCAGAGGTTTGAGTAGCACATGCTGGGTATCACCACTTCCCTCCCTAGGCAGCGTGGGGAAAATGAAAACACGATAAAAAGTCTAACAGCACACCACAAGAGAATAGGGCTTTGCTGCTTTTGTTAGGGGACTGTTTTCCCTAAGGAAGAATGACCTCCAGAGATTATAGTGAAACAAGTCATTATGAGAAGTAAGAATTTGTTCCAGCTGGTCTTGGTACTAATCTCTTCCTCGACTCTTTAAAGGAGATAACACCCAGCAAACAGTGCCAAGTCTCAGACACAGGCAGGTTTAGGGAGAATTCAGAAAGTATCAGGAGACGGCCGATGTGTAGCTAAGCTTTACCCTCTCTCAACAACGGTCACTCTTCCAGAGCTGCACCCAAGTGCCAGACTTCTTCCTTCTTACCCAATAAAGCTGTCTTTGCTGTAAGACATGAAATACCTCCAGTGTTGGTCCCAGCAAGAAACTCACTGAGCAGAATTAGCCTGTCTGCTACTACTTTTCCTGCTCTGGGTTACCACCACCAGACCAAGGCAGATTCTAGCTGGGGCACCATACCCAATACATGTTCCAACCCAGCCTTCAAAGGGAGGAGCCGCGAGAGACTCAGAGTGCTCAGGCAGTGCCTGCAAGCCCCTACTGAACCCCCACCCCTGAACCTCTGAAGAGATAGTACCAGGCATAGCCAAACTGATGCTACTTGAGCAAGTCTGCTCCAATTCAAGCTGTCTCCTATCACCAGGGAGGCATTAATGCAGTGCAGCTCCACCAAAAGCAAAAACATACCAACAGGCACTGTTAGGACCTGAGGAAAAATACAGGGAGAGATAGTAATTGGCCCACTAGTACAGAGATTCAGTGCTGTCCCTTACTGGTATTCAGGCAACAGTCCTGCGGAACACACCCTTGCTGCAAGCTGAGCAATCACCGTACTACACTGCTGCAAACCTAGACTTTCAAAATGCTTAAAGGACATGTAGTTAAAAACCAAACTCCAGCAAATATCCTTCCTCCTTCATGCTCATGAGTCTTTCCAAGGGGAATAGAGATTCCAGACAGAGCTCTAAGGAGTAATGGCCTTATATCCCTAGTCAGCCCACATTTAATCTTGCGAAACACACGCACCAGAATACAGCATCGTATCTTACTAGACAAAAAGGCGAGCACCAGCCTTGATACAGGGCCGTTCTGCAGATAAAGGACTGACATACTGAGACAGCAAACAGACAGGTTTTTCAAGCACCCCAAGAATTATGTCCATGGGACATGAAAGCATTTTTGACCACTCTGCTTGCAAGTGCACCTCCACTAAAAGACAGGGAGTGTGCTGCTCTTTTCTCCCTGTCTCCAGGGGCTGCTGCCAGTGGGCTCCTGTCATACGGTCCGTGCTCAGCAATGACTTGTAGCTGCTGAAATACCCTACCCTAGGGATGATCAGCCAGGTCATCTTTCTTACCAGATGTTGCATTAAACATTTTGAGATTTTTTTTGTTGTCTTGCTTCAAATATTCAGCAGAGAAGAAAGCACATCTTTCATTTTGGCAGGAAAGAGGGAGAGCAGAGAACACATGCTCAACAGTGGCAGGCAGAAGAGGTTTCTTTCCTTAAGGCACTTGGACCAGGGCCTCAGTGGATTTTGCTCTAGAAATCCAGGAATGGAACGATAGCAATCAGAAATTTGTTGAAAGGTCAGGAATTCTGTATCACAAGCTAAAAATACAGATCACTTAAACCACCTTCATAAATGCAGGAACCTGAGATCGCAAGAACTGTGTACAAACCAGTTTCCAATGGGTTCGAAGAGCTCTATGCAGCATCACATAAACCCCAATTGGAAACCGTTACATACATCATCCAGATGACATCCCAGCAATTACGACAGCACATCCTGTTAAGGGTCCAGAATGATGGGGTCTCCACACAGCAGGCTGTGGGAGCTTCTTAAGGACTTCTCCAAGGTGAAGAACAATTTTCACCTGACCCAGAATTCATACTGACCTTTCAAATGGAAGAAGCCACAAAAATGACTGGATAGAGGAGCTGTCACGGCAACTAGGCACTTTGGAGATACTCTTGAATCCTAAGTGATCCTACTCTTATACAGCACTGCAGAAATAGCTGTCTAGTAAGGACAGCCTCCAAATGCGGAAGGGCAAAACTGCTGAATGTCAATAGATTGCAACAGCCTGCTGAATTATTCCTGAAATTTAGCAGTATTCCAGGTCCCAGTTAAGAAAAAAAAAAACACAGCAAAATTAAAAAAGAAGAGAGAGAGCAGTCTGGACAGCACTGCTTGTCCTGCTCCATGGTCAGGGTGGCACCTTTACACCAGAAGGTTTGAGAATGGCAAAGGAAGCACTAAACTCCAGGAATTCCACATTCCTGGCTCACCTTGGGAAACAAGGTTTCCCAAACAGTTGAGAGTCCAGCAGCATCTCTGAAAGGGGACAGGGGTTGGATTTCTTACAGTTAAGCCCGCTGCAATACATTTATCTGTCATCTCTCTATTTGAGGTTGTGACATTTCTCCCCCCAAACAGGCTTTCTGAGTGAGGCTTATGTGACAATGAAGTATCAACATCATCCCTCCAGCCACAGCCAGTGGTGATGCTCAACCATGAGATGCTCATGGTTGCTCATTTTCACATTCCTTAAGCGTTTCCTGAAAATCCGCTGGCAGATGCCAGAGTCCTTACGACTCCTGCTGGTGACAAACACAGAGGACTGGAGGTAGTGAACGGCTGCGTAGCAGTACCTGAAAAAAAGCACGCTATTCCCTGGGATATCTGCCTCACTGAAAGGAACCATGAGTGACTCCAACACTCATCAGTAGGAGCCAAAGCCACCATGACGAAATCACCTGATGCAAAGAAACAGGAAAGGCTGGTATTCTCTGAGACACGTGCCACATGCTTCTCACTGGGAAACCCCTTTCCGAGCTGTGTCCAGCACACAGACTCCCTGAGCAGCCTCCCCAGAAGTGCAGTTACTCCTTCTTTACAACACAGCAGGGAGCAAAAACATCTGGGACCCTCACTTGCTTCTGTGGATTCCATCCAGGGCAGCACAAAGACAGCTCTGGAGAGAGGCTTCTTCTCCCTTTCCGCAGCCAGAGGGGCACCTAGGTGGAAAGGAACATATTTATGGCTTCCTAAGCTAGCAGGATATTCCCCGCGCAGGTTCACAGACAATTCCGTTGACCTAACCCTTTGGCATCTTTAGGGGCTTCCTTCTAGATGCTGGAGTGACAGTCAGAAGAGGTAAAATACAAGTTTGCAGAAACAGGTCTGTAGACTTCCATCTACTCCTCATCCAAACTGTGTTCTTGCACAGAAGTTACAAGCTTTACACCTGCATTTTACAGCCAAGTAGAGAGTTGCCAGTAAAATCAGTTGCAATCTACATCACAGCTCAACTTAAAAAGGTGTCTAATGGCAAACTTCCTTGAAAAGGGAGCAGGACTGAGCCCAAAGTCAGCAGCAACCCCTTAAGAGGATTAAAGTATCCAGAGTTACATTAGTAATGATTAAATAATAATAAAATCCAGAAATTTGGAAAGGACAGAAACCCTCACGCACAAAGGCACAAGCCAGCTTCTAAGCGGGGGTTAGGAAAAATCTTTTCCTGTGGGCAAACTATTCCAAGATCACTCATTTCATGACCATTTACTTCCTTCCCACAAACATTTAGCCTTTGTCGGGAACACAGGAGACATCTGGGCACACACTGGCTTTCACAGAATTCACAGAATTCACAGAATGGTTAGGGTTGGAAGGGACCTTTGGAGATCATCTAGTCCAACCCCCTGCCAGAGCAGGGTCACCTACAGCACGTTGCACAGGACAGCGTCCAGGCGGGTTTTGAATGTCTCCAGAGTGGGAGACTCCACCACCTCTCTGGGCAGCCTGTGCCAGTGCTCCACTACCCTCAAAGTAAAGAAGTTCCTTCTCATGTTAAGATGGAACTTCCTATGTTCAAGTTTATGCCCATTACCCCTCGTCCTATCACTGGGCGCCACTGAAAAAAGACCCATTCCCATCCCCCTGGCATCCTCCCATTAAGTATTTGTAAGTATTAATAAGATCCCCCCTCAATCTTCTTTTCTCTAGACTAAAGAGACCCAAGTCCCTCAGCCTTTCCTCATAAGAAAGGTGCTCCAGTCCCCTAATCATCTTCTTTGCCCTTTGCTGGACCCTCTCCAGCAGTTCCCTGTCTTTCTTGAACTGGGGAGCCCAGAACTGGACACAGTACTCCAGATGCGGTCTCACCAGGGCAGAGTAGAGGGGGAGGATGACCTCCCTCGACCTGCTGGCCACACTCTTCTTGATGCACCCCAGGATGCCATTCGCCTTCTTGGCCGCCAGGGCACATTGCTGGCTCATGGTCATCCTGTTGTCCACCAGGACTCCCAGGTCCCTCTCCACAGAGCTGCTCTCCAGGAGGTCAGCCCCCAACCTGTACTGGTGCATGGGGTTATTCCTCCCCAGGTGCAGTACCCTACACTTACCCTTGTTGAACTTCATAAGGTTTCTTTCTGCCCAACTCTCCAGCCTGGTGAGGTCAATGCTTTACCTAGCATGGTGCTTCCCATGCCTCGCAAAGGGGGGTCCTCAGGCTGCAAACTGCCGAGTCAAGAAAAAGGTAATCCCAAACCCTCACACAGAGGGGCCAAATCCCTTGAAATTACAAAAAAAGTCTCCGACCTTCCCGAGGTCATGCTTTACCTAGCATGGTGCTTCCCATGCTTCGCAAAGGGGGGTCCTCAGGCTGCAAACTGCAGGATGTTAGCTCACCTTCAGGATGGCAAGAGGCTAACTGACAGGTGAGAGGGCACAGAGACACAGGCTTGTGCTCGGTTTCTTGCTGAAGCATTTCGGAGCTTAGTCCCAGATCCTAAGCAGAGCTGGCACAGACGCATTCAGCAGCTACAGGAGTGACTTCATCTTACAGCATTTTTAAGCTGCTTTCAAGTAGGTGGCCAGTGAATTCTATGAATTCTGTGATACTTTATCCAAACCATGTGTCAGCCGAATGTATCAGCACGATGGAGATTTAAATGCAGACCGTCCAGGGCTGTATGTAATCTCTCCACGTTCGGAAACTCGATGCCAGACTAGCAGGAAATTCCATACAGAGGGGAATATCCTGAATTAATTTCTGAAAGACGGCCCCCTTGTTCATAACAGTCTAATGGTCACATATCGTATTTTTTTAAAACATGTTGGGGAAAAGATGTTTTGGGTACTACTCACTAGATGTTGAGAGAGAAAAGACTTCCCCGGCATTCTCAGGATGTTACACATCAATGAATTTCTTTCTCCCACAGTTAAAAGTATGTTAAAGTTGAGTCCATACAGACAGCAAATATCAGCAATTTAAAGTGAAAATACAACAGTATTTTATGATTATCCCCAAAATCAGCATTATGAACCAGAATATTCAGACTCCGTGGCATAATTCAGACACACCAGACAATGTAATGTAACACCAGCAGATCTAGTTTCATACTTTTCATTCTGGTGCCACTTCAGAGCAGTGTTGGAATCTTTTTTATTCAAATTGTAACTAAGTGTAAGATAAAAAATGTTGAAAAGGGAGATTTAATATGCTACGACCAGACATTTCACAAAGAACAGTATTAATCTTGCATAATTAAAAAAAAACAAACAGGTGTACTTATACATACATACATTGTTGATGGAGTAAGATTTGGTTTTTTACATGAACAAGGATCCTGAACCTCCATTTTAAGCGAAAAACCCCCTGAGTGCAGCCCCCATTATGGAGTTAGACAATAAAGGCCATTTTATTTTAACCTCCTTTTGTAATCACAATAGTTTGGCTGTGCACATACACTATCTATTTCACAACTGTTCAGATTAAATGCTGTAGCACTGAGAGTTTCATAAAGGAAAAGCAAGCCTCATCTTGACTTTTTCCTACTCATTTGTTCTTGACTAGAAATTTTGTTCTTACTGTGATTTCCAGATGGGAATTCACAGGGAGCATCACTACCTAGTTTCCAAAGGGGAAAGGAAAAGTGATAGTTAAACGACTGAGCAGCACTGAAGAAGAGATCCTGGCTGCATAAACCTTCATAAAGAACCAAACCAAATTAAAATAAACTAGGAAGGATGCAGAACCCTCCTCTCTACAATCAGCCAAGATAATCAAGAACTCTAACCTTTTTGCTTAGGTTGAAAGGAAGAGATCTTAAGAAGGTAATCCTTGTATTGCTCTGTCTTTCCTGATTACAAAGATCCTCAGAAGTGAAAATACTGAGAACTGTGGGGAGGCAAGCTGGATTACTCAACGGTACAGGCTGCTCCATCTTTTTCACCGTTTTCCTGGCTTACAAATGATTTGGATATAGATTTCAAGAAATAAAAAAATACTTGAAGTGTTTTAGTTTTTTGTGTGCTGTTCAGGTTTATTGTTGTTGAAATGCCAACATGCAGGTCAGCAGATAAAGATTCAGGCTGAAAGAAGAATCTGGAATAATTATTGGTGTTGCTGCTTGTAGGCCTCTTCTCTTGCTAAATTTCAGACCATGTTGGAAGATGGAAAGTGTATCCCTTCTCAATGAATGGTGTGGGGGGGGTGGATTTCTGTCTTTAATAAAGCTCTCCTGGCATTTTCAGGACAAACTGACGGACGATCAGAACAGTCTGGGATTACTAAAATTGTTAACCTTTTTTAGTAGAATAAATATATTTCTCCATCAATTTTGCTGCCTTGGAACTTTGTAAGAGACGTGTTACAAAGTATTAACATCCAGATTTCTGTAAACATGTTCTATTTGGTCAGTATCTGTGAAAGGGACAGAAATTTAATTTTTATGGGTACATTATCAATTTTCTGTATAAGATCATGTGAACATCACAGTTACAGACAACTGGAAAGCCTCTTTTCTAAAACCTTAGATTAAAACTACATACAGAGCAACCGGTCCTCTCCAGAGTTGTGGAACTGCAGGACTTGCATGAACTTCAAAATCTCCGGCATGACCGCATTTGTGTCATGCTCCTGAGCACACCTTATAGGGTTGCAACGCAAGACACCCAACAGGATACCCAAAGTGAGAACATCCAAAAAGAACCCTTAATGTAACAGTCATGTTAGAAGAGCAACTTCAAATTTACTCTATTAAAACAGGTCTGGGAACTGTTACCTAATTCACCCACCCTCAAAAAACACATTGGTGCTGTAATGTGAAAGCACTGGGTCAGAACTAGCAAACAGCAGCAGAGAAAGGCAAAGGGAAATGGATCTCCCATGTTGCAGAACACCTGAGAAATTCCAGTGAAAAACTCTCTCCCATTCCAGTCCCGCAATGTACTCAGAGAAGGAGAATGTAAGAGCAAGACAGGAGTAACCTGTGTTAAGGTGAAAGGGACAACACTGCACCTTGCCAAAAAAGTCTTGTTCCAGGGGAGAGTGAACGACTCCAGCCGCAGAGCCGCAGAGAAAGATGCTTTTGTGAAAGGCAACAACTACAGCACTGAAGGGAAATATCTCAGGCTTAAGGTCAAAATTTTTTTCACACTGTAGATCCCAGAACTAAGTTCCATATTATTTTCTTAATGTCTTCCTCCTGCACTGAGATTTATCATTCTTGGTCTCAGCCCATTGGTCATTTAAATTTGAAGATGAACATATTCATCTCCTTGTTAGGCAAATGGGAATCTAAAGAGATTTTACCTACTTAAAATGCAAACACATTAGAAAAATAAAATCCACTTTTATTGCTCTCCCCAGGGAGCGGGAGAATTATTAAATAAGAACACTAGAAAAATTAATCACAAAGTTGTAAATGACTAACCATTCACTTTGGAAAGTGTACGTGGGTGTGCATGCACACACACATCATTTACATTAGGCTTTTAATTGTGTAAGGCATTAGTAAATTTTACCAAGCACAACAGTGGAACTTTCCATTTTTTGCTCTGTTACCCCTCAAAAAGTAAAAGGAAATCAAAAGCTAAAATTTACTTTAAAGAAACATTATGGTTGCAAATTTGAATACTTAAAATTAATCAAGAAATGGAGATGCTAAAGATCCTTAACGTTAAATTAACACCAGCAAACCACTTACGTATCTTTCCATCACTAGTCAGAACATTAAAAGCACTATATCCTGTATGCTTAAGGTCTGGGAAATAAAACCTTAATTCTGAATATATTAATTTCATGGTTTAAATTCACAACCCTCAAAATGTTTTTGCACATGCAAGGCATTAGCACTATGTCTCCACAGTTAACGTTTGCAAGGCATATTCCAGCCCACATCCTCGCTTCTAACCTTTCACTGCTTTTTCAAATAAATTCCCTATTAGGCTGAACTTTCTCATGCTTAGTCAGAGCCCAAAGGGAAATATGTTTTTAAAAGATCAGGCCAATCATTTTTATTTATGGGATTGTGAAATATTTACTATGTATTCCATTTTGGAAAAAAAAAAATTGCAATTTTCTTTTTTCCTTCTTGTAACTAAATAATGTCACAGAGTGGAGACTCACACTCTATGGATGCCGCCCTGTACACAGGTGATGGGTTTGAATGCATTTAGCTAAGAAACTGGAAAGAAAAACATCATTCTGTTTGCAGCCTACAACATCCTCAGACCCAGATGAAAGTCAGTGTACTCCCTACCACCGAACGTTCTGCCTTAGCCCAGCATCCAGCCACAATCCAGCATACAATAAGCAAGTATGACACTACTATGAATGGGGAAGGAGGAAATAAAGCTCACAGATGACAGCACAGTTATATTTTATTTTCAAAAGATGTGCCTCCTGACCCACCGTCAGTCTGGTAAGAACTACAGCCAGCTACCAGGAGTTGGGATATGATCACAAACTAAAATGTATCTTGCATTGAGACATAAATGCTTCTCTACATCTAGGTACTCGATAAGAGGGCCTGAAGACCTGGAAAAGAGGACGCAGACGTCATACTGCACCCACTAAAAAAATATGCCATGATGTGGGTGCTTCAGCATGAGAGAGCTGAACAGGTTGGCAATGTCCCTGGTAGCCAGCTCCGCTCTACCAGAGCCACGCACTTCCCTCCAGACTATGGCAAAGCCCAAGCTGGAGTCAAGCTCTGAACTGCTGCTGCTGATGGCACTCAGCTAGTACCACAAAAACCGAGAGATACTGGGTTGTCCTGCGTGCTTCATCACGAACATAGCTGGGACTGGAGTACCTGTTCTGAAGA